GGCTGCTTCCACAAAGTTTGCCAAAAATGGCTCAAAAATTTGCTGTCATGATCTGAAACTATGGTTTTGGGCAAACCATGTAATCAAACCACTTCTCGAAAGAACAATTGGGCAACATGAGTAGCATCGGATGTCTTTCTGCAAAGAATAAAATGGCTCATTTTGGAAAATCTGTCAACAACCACAAATATAGAATCCATATCGCGTTGAGTTCTTGGAAGTCCTAGAATGAAGTCCATAGACAAATCTTCCCATGGTGCTTTTGGAATGGGGAGTGGAGTATAAAGACCAGTGTTCTGTGCTTGTCCTTTTGTAGTTTGGCATGTATAGCAATGTTGAACATACTTCTCAACTTCACGCTTCAGTTGTGGCCAGTAATAATGAGATTCCACCAGTGCGACACTCTTATCCTGTCCCATATGACCTGTTAATCCACCAGAGTGTGTCTCACGAATAATGTACTCTCGTAGAGACCCTCGAGGAATACACAAATGACTCTCAAAGAACAAAAATCCATCTTGTAACTGAAATTTGTCTGAACTTGGCAACCCAGAGTTACACTTTGCCCATGCCTCCCTAAAGTCCTCGTCATCTACATAGAGCTCCTTTAGATAATTGAATCCATAAATTTCATTCCAAACAATGGTAAGCAACTCAGCTCGGTGACTTAATGCAGCAGCTACTTTGTTCAATTGACCAAACTTATGTTTGATAGAAAAAGTGAATTTTTGAATGTATGCGATCAATCTAGTTGCATGCGGTTTGGTTTTACTGAATTTTGGAGAAATTTGAGAGCTTGGTGATCGCTATTCAAGATAAACTCCCTTTGTATTAGATATGGTTCCCAATAATGTAGCGGATATTTGATGAATGTATTCATTCATGTAAGACATGAAGGAAAGATTAATGTTACCTGTGTTGTCAGATGTTGGGCCACGCCAGCGAATCCTTTTTCTAGGCGGTCGGTCTTTTGAAATGGAGGAGGCGGCGGTGGATGCGATTGGGCGCCGGAGTTTGTCGATTGTGGAAAGGGGTCAGGGGCTCAGAAGGCCGGTCCTGCTTGTTGGCTTCGAAGTATGTTGGCTGGTGGCGAAAATGCGGAAGGCTTCATTGGATCCCGGGACCTTTCGATTTATGGGACGGCTTACTGGCGGCTGTCGTAGTGTAGCAGTTTGGGTTCGCGGCGAGGAAGAGGGTTGGTCATCCATCCAAATAGTGGTGACGGAGGGAAAGCGGAGGGCTTAGCTTTTCTTTCCGATGTCTGCCTTTGGCGATGGGTGGGGGGATTTGGCTTTGGTTATTGAAGGGTTTGGATTAGGTGATGGTTGGGTAAAGCATCCTGGTGGTGTGCGGGGGATGGGGCTACCTATTTCTACGCCTATGGCAATGGGAAATCGTGGTATGGCTGCAGTGGTTCAGGAGGTACACATAGCAATGGAAGGTGAGTGGTTTCAACTAGTGGATAGGGCTTTAGTGGGCCATCTGAGGGGCGTGGGTGGTAAAGGCTTGAGTTTTGCGGCTATGTCAGACTAGGTCCGTCAAAGGTGGAAGGCGTCGGGGCAGGTGGAGGTGCGGCCACTTGGTGATCAGGCTTTTTTGTTTGTTTTCTCTTCCAGACGCGAGGCAGAAACTTTGTTGCGTCGGCGATGGACTCTTGATGGTCGAGATTTGCTGTTGGAATGGTGGACACCCTTGGCCCTCTGCGCTTTGGGGACGGAATCACCACCAAGACCAAGAGAATGGATCCGTGTGACGGGCTTGCTGCTTCATCTTCATGAGAGGAGGTTTATCGTGTGATTGGCGACCAGTGTGGTGGCTTTGTGGAGGCGGACGAGTCGTCGGCGGATCTTAGCTCTCTTTGACTGTGTGTGAGGGGTTTGGAGAAGATGCCGACGACTATCTCACTCTGGTGGGGATCGTGGTCATATTCCTTACCAATATGGGTGGAGGTCCGGCCGCTTGTTGAGCCTGTGGCTCCGTTCGCCGGCGAGGGGGGTGGTTCTGGTTTGGGAATGGAAGGGCGTGATCTACGGCGGAAGAATCGGCGTTTTGCGAAAATCGTGGGGGTCAACGAATATAAACAGAGATTTGGGCGATCCACTAATTTTAAGGGTAAACGGGTTAGGGTTATTCCTAATACCCAAGGTGGCTTTGTAGTGGGCTCAATAAGGGATTTACAAGGTCAACAGTTGGGCCATTCTGAGGCCCAAAAGGCTGTTGGTGTTTCTTTGGGCCAGCAAAGGTGGGCTCCGATCCATCACCATCCAGAAGTAGGCTTAGATTGTGGAAAGGTTATTTTCAGCCCCCCTGGGTGTGGTTTAGGCCTAGTGGAGAAAGATCCGGCCCTACCCAACCCAGGTCAATCCAATCCAGACCTCAGTCGGGTTTGTGCTTCCCTTCGTGACGGATTGGAGCTTCATCGAACCTTTACTGCCATGGAAGCGTCGCCGAAGTTTGTGCGACCTCAGGCGAGGGCTGCTGAGGAGGGTTTCGGAGGCTCCTCACACTCGCCTGGCTCATGTTGAGGTTTCTCCAAAACACTTTGCTGATCTTGTGGCGGAAGAACAGCGTTTGCAGGAGTTGAGCTGCGGGGAAGGATGCGACATAGAGAGAACTGATGATGAAGGTCGTTGGGCCACAGGGGTAGATCAGCTGGCATTGGTGGTCCGACCTGAGGTGGTGAATGCTGAGGTAGACGTGGGTGATGTTGCAGGTGAGGAGGGAATTCCTAGCCCGGTAGTGGACTTCCACAAGGATGTGATTCCGAGCTTCGAAGAGGTATCGACGTGGGTCCTTTCTCGCATTACTGAGGTTAGCCATTTTTGGGGATGTCTTTTAAAGGTCATGAGCATGAGGCTTTTGCTTTATTTTCTACCATTGAGGGCTCCTGGAGGGAGAGTGCCTCGAACTGCCAAGTGGTGACGCCTATGAAACAGAATGAGAAGAGTGTTAGGAGTTATGAAGATTGGAGTGCTCTATCAATTATGATTAGAGTGAAGATGGGGATGGACGGGTTGCTAGGAAGGGTCATGGTACTCCATTGTTGTTGCAATGCGGTTAAAAATGTTGTCTTGGAATGTGCATGGTTTAAATGATAGGGGAAAACGGGTGATGGTGAAATCTTTGTTAAAAAGCGCGCGTGCGGATGTTGTTTGTCTACAGGAAACCAAGTTGGAGAGTTTGGGGGCAGAGATGGTTCGGGAATTGTGGGGTGGTCGGTTTGTGGATTCGACGTTTTTACCTGCCTAAGGGGTGGCTGGGGGAGTTCTCATTTGTTGGGATGTGAGAGTTTTAGTTAAGGAGGAGGAGGAGGGGACTTTTTCCATTTCTTGCCTTTTTCGATGTATTGAGAATGACTTTCCCTGGGCCTTTACAGGTGTTTATAGGCCAGTTTATGGAGGAGAGCGGATTGGTTTTTGGGAGGAGCTTCACTACATTGCCTTTTGGTGGGGGGTTCCATGATGTGTCGGTGGTGACTTTAATGTGGTGCGGAGTTTGGAGGAGAAGAGGGGGGCAAGCTTGGTAACGGCTTCTATGCGAATGTTTTCGTCATTCATTGATGAGGTGGAGTTAGTAGATCTTCCAATGCAAGGTGGTGCATTTACATGGTCTGGAGGTGGAGTGATGTCTCGGCTTGATAGATTTTTGGTCACAGGGGACTGGGAGGAGCATTTTCAAACGTGACCCAAACACGTTTGCACCGTCCAGTTTCCGATCATTAGCCAGTTTTATTGGACAGTGGGGGTATCCAGAGTGGGCCGACGCCGTTTCGGTTTGAGAACATGTGGTTGTTGTCTGAGGGTTTTCTGGAGCGGGTAAAGGGCTAGTGGGATAGTTATGTGATCTCCAGCTTGCCTAGTTCTTGTCTGGCACAGAAATTGAAACTTCTTAAGTCCGATTTGAAGAGGTGGAATAGGGAAGTGTTTGGACGCTTAGAGGTCCAGAAGGCCGATGTGCTCGCTGTGTTGCAGGAGTTGGACGTCATAGAGTCCAAGGGGGTATTGTCTGCGGCGAATCTTCGTCATCGAGATGATGTCCGCAAGGAGTTTGGCCAGATTGCTCGTATGGAGGAGATTAGCTTTTGGCAAAAATCTAGATGTCTGTGGTTAAAGGATGGGAATCGAAATACAAAGTTTTTTCATCGAATGGCGAATGCCCATTGGAGGGTGAATCAGATAGGTTGTATGCGTGTAGATGGTGTGGAGTTGTCTTCTTCAGATGCGGTCAGGGCCGGTATTGTGGGCTTCTATGAGCACCTTTTTCGGGATGCGGGGAGGTGTGGAGGCCAAGCCTGGATGGTGTTTCTTTCGATGTTATTTCGGACACGGTTAGTTGTAGGTTGGAGCACCCGTTCGCAGAAGTGAGGTGTTGGAGGCTTTGCGCAGTATGCCTGGGGATAAGGCGCTGGGTCCAGATGGTTTTACATTAGCATTTTTCCAACATTGTTGGGAGGTGGTGAAGGCCGATGTGATGGCAATGTTTGAGCAGTTTCATCAGACTGGTGAGTTTGAGCGTAGTCTTAATGCCACGTTTATTGCTTTGATCCCAAAGAAGGGTGGGGCGGAGGATATTCGAGACTTCTGTCCTATCAGTCTGTTGGGTAGTATGTATCAGCTTTTGGCGAAAGTGCTGGCTAATAGGTTACGAGATGTGTTGACAGGGGTCGTTTCTGAGTCTTAGAATGCTTTTGTGGGTGGGCGGCAAATTCTAGATACGGTCTTAGTGGCAAATGAATGTGTGGATTCTCGACTCCGCCAAGGGCAGGCGGGACTTACTTGCAAACTTGATATTGAGAAGGCTTATGATAATATTAATTGGAAGTTTTTACTATATATGTTGGACAGACTCGGTTTTGGAATTAGGTGGAGGCGTTGGATCCAATTCTGTATTTCCACAGTGCGGATGTCAATTCTTGTGAATGGATCTCCAGCGGGCTTCTTTCCTACTTCTAGGGGCTCCGGCAAGGAGATCCTTTATCTCCTTTATTGTTTATATTGGTGATGGAAGCGCTGGGGCAGTTGTTCACTAGGGCGGTGCAGGGAGGACGATTACAGGGGTTTGCGATGGGAAAGGCTCCTGCAATTTTGTCGGTTTCTCATTTGTTCTATGTAGATGATGCACTTATTTTCTGCGATGCGGATGTGGATCAAATTGGGTATTTGAGATGTGTGTTATTGTGTTTTGAGGCTGTCTCAGGTCTTCGGGTGAACTTAGCAAAGTCAGAATTGATTCCAGTGGGGGAGATGGCTACGATTTCGGTGTTGGTTGCTATTATGGGGTGTAAGGTGGTGACTTTGCCAGTTACGTATTTGGGATTACCTTTGGGGCCGTCTTTTAAGTCTAAAGGTGTGTGGGATAGGGTAGTGGACCGTATGCAACGGCAGTTGGCAGGATGGAAACGGCAATATTTATCCAAAGGAGGAAGACTTATGTTGATTAAGAGTGTTCTCTCTTCCATCCCGACATATTTTATGTCTGTCTATGTGATCCCAGTGTCAGTGGCCAAGTGTATAGAGTAGCTGCAGAGGGATTTCTTGTGGGGTACGGGGGGGAGGGTTACCGTTATCACTTGGTGGCCTGGGATCGGATTTGTCGTCCCAAGGTGCAAGGGGGTTTGGGGATTAGAAGGTTGGTCTTGTTCAATGTGGCCCTGTTGGGGAAATGGTTGTGGCGGATTGTGGCAGAGCCTGACCGTTTCTGGTAGGGGTGGGCGCGGGTCGGTTACGGCCACGGAACCTCTAATCCACCATCCGTCCGCCAAATTGGCAGATTAAAGAAAATCAATCCGCATCCGTCCGCCAATCTGGCGGATGTGGATTGAGCGGATTGGCGGTTTGGCGGATGGATGCGAATCAGTTTGGCGGTTTAAAATTTTATAAATTTTCAACAAAATTCAACTTGTGCACTTCCTCAAAAAAAAAAAAAAAAAAGAGAGAAAGTATTACAGTCAATGACTTAAAAAAGTATTACAATCATTGTATGCCTTATCCAAAGAAAGAAAGTTTGAAACTTTAGAATATCACGATCAGTGCATGCTTCATCCACATATTACAATCACAGCATGATTCATCCACATGAAGCATTACAATCTGTGATTCTTAAAATATAATAACAATTCAAACCACCAAAACCATGAACAGAGCAGTAGTAGAGATTGTATGTCTTTGTATTGTTACATCTACATATGTTTTTGAAAACAAAAACCAACTAGCATATATAGCATATTTTCTATTTATTATTTTTAGAGTTAGATTTAAAAACCAAAAAATATAGATAAATAATACGTTTATTTTTTTCAATTCAAAAAATATATTCAAGTTGAAAACTTTTTTTCAACAGAATATTTAAACTCTTTTTCAATTGAAAACACAGACATAATATTTAAACAAATTGAAAATACAAAGTCTTGTAAATTACTAGGGATGCTCGCGATTTGACGGTTTGACGGTTAGGTTACGGCCAAAGAAATCTCAAATTCGCCATCCGTCCGCGAAATTGACGAATTGGAGAAAATCAATCTGCAACCATCCGCTCGTCATCACGCATCCGTCCAAAATGCGGCGGATCGATTCGGTTCGGTCGGTTTTGGCGGATCGGTATATCCGTTGCTCACCCCTAAGGGTGGTGGTAGCAAAGTTTGGTGTGGGGCATGGCGGGTGGTGTTTGGGGCGCGTAGGGCATTCTCATGGTTATGGTCTATGGAAGGGGATTTAGTTGGGGTGAGAGGAGTTTTGGAAGCGGGTAAAACTCAAGGTTGGGGTAGGGGATAGGGTTCGGTTTTGGCGAGATCGGTGGTGTGGTGACCTCACTTTAGAAAAGCGATTCCCTTTGGTTTTTGGTATTGCCATTGATGCTGAGGTTTTGATGGGTACCGTGTGGTCTGGCCAGGGGATTTCGACTTTTTGGAATGTGGCCCTGCGCCGTGCTGTTTAGGATTGGGAGCAAGGTCAGTTGGTGGAGTTGTTGGCTTTTTTATATGAGTTGAGAGTAGGGGAGGTTGGACAAGACTCTTTGGTTTGGGAATGTCCTGGGCAAGGTTCTGAAAAGCGGTTGCGGTCGCCGTAACGGTGGCGGTGGCGCGGTTGCAGTTGCGGTTGTGGTTGCGGTGTGTAAAGGCCGTAGCCTAACGGTTGCGGTAACTGGAACCGTGAATTTTTTTTTTTTTTTTGCACAATTTGAAAAAAACTTACCGATATACATATTTTTTTTCCATGATCATATTTATTGGATTTAAAATAAATATTGACCAATTTTTGTAAATTTTTAAGTATGATCCAATATATTTTATATTTTTAAATCACGATAAACTAAGTTTTTTACATTTTATCTTAATAATTAATGACTTTATATTATACAAAAAATCAATTACTAACTATTATATATAAGATAAACAATGACAAAAGTAAGAGAATAAATAAGAGCCTAAATATATACACACATTTTAACCAAACTAAATAGATAATGACCACACTTATTATTATTATTATTATTATTATTATTATTATTATTATTATTATTATTATTATTCAAGCATTTGGTGAACATTGTAGTAGCAAAAATTATGTAGTGGCTCAATCAATTATTTTGAACTTCAATTATTGCAAAATTATACCCAAATCCTTACAATGGAATGAATAACAATAAATTTAATTAAAATAATAGGAAATAGGTTGTAATTTATGCCAAGTGACATGAAGAAGTTGGTCTTTGAACTATGGAAATCGAGTAAAAGATTAAATCATCAACTTACAACATGAATGTACAAAAAATAAAAATTAGAAGGAAAAAAAAGGATGGAATTTTAGTTACCTCTATTCATAGAACCTTCAGAACTATTCTCCTCACCAAATTCCAATGCCTCTGTCATCTTTACATGAATTGATAATTTCTCTACAACACTCTAACTCAACATAAAATTGTGCATTGATTTTAGGAGAAAAGATCTTTCATACTTAAAACTAAAAAGAAATATTAAAGTGAAAGCAATTTCAAAAATCAAAACACATTTGAAAATGAAACCCATTTCACATTTCAGAAATGAAACATGTTTAATTTTTCCAACACAAACACAAATACAATTTCAATTTAGAACTTTGTATATAATATTCTTCATTAAGCTAATAGTATGTTACCTGTAGATCAATGATCTAATTTTGATAAGAAAAATTATTGTACAGTAGAGTTGAAAATGCAGATATCAAAATCTAAAACCAAACACAAAATTACTATAAATAATACTTGGAATTTGAAAATAACTTCATAATTGAAACAATAAAAAATGGGGGAAAAAATTTTAAATTTGAAATCATATTAACGGAGAATTCTAAGAAAATAAAAAGACCTTCGCTAATGAGATTAATTAAAGCTTGAACAATGGCCAATTAAGTCATGAATTTCAAAATCAATTAATTGAAAAAGATTCAAATCCTAACAGTTAACAGAATAAAAATTTAAAGCCATGGTTTTTTTTTTTGGGTAGGCATTTAAAGCCATGGTTGTCTAACTTGACTATACAAATCCTAACTATTAACACATTCATTCATCAAATGAATTTGTAGGTATTATTTTTTTATTTCATCATTAACACATGACGCATGACACACAAAAAAATATGTATTTTTATTGTGTTCAATCATATACCTACAAATCATACCTATAGCAAGCATGATGGATGATAATTTCCTAGATTTGTATAGTGAAGTTAAACAACCAACCAAAGAAATAATCACTAAATAACAATGATCAATCACTGCTTCAATAAGAATACAAATCAAATTCTTACCTCAATGTTTGGAAGTCCTCAAGCTGTCTAATGATCAATCACTGTTCTTAGGAAGTATCAAGCTGTCTAATGTGAGCCTATTAAGCAAACACAATGCTTTTTTTTTTTTATAATTTTTTTAACAACAAAAATAGAACTGAAGCAACAAAAATAGAGCTACAAATTAATTCTGGTGTATTTCAGAGAGTGTAGAAAATCATTAATGTTGCAATGATAGAGATTGGCCCACCCATTCACCCAAAATGCAATTCTAATTTTGATAAATTCCACGATTTCGCACCAAACTGGTTGTTTGTGGCTGAAGATTCATTCATTTCTAGCAAGCCAAAGAGTTCAAATAATAGAATCCAAGATAGTTGGGATGTACATGGCAGCAATTAAAGAAATCAACACAAAATTTACTTTTACATGACTGCAAAACAAAAGACATCAAAAAAAAAAATTAGAGTAACAAAAAATGAATACCAAAAACAATAGAAGAAATCAACACAAAATTTAAAATTTTACATGAGAGCGAAAGCTAATGAATACCAAAAACAATAGAAGAAATGTGCACCATAATTTCCCTGTTGTAAAGATATAAATTGAATTTTGATTTGGATTAATAATTAGAGAAAGCTAATCAAAGTGCACAAACAATTTGTCATAAAAGCACAAACAATTTGTCATAAAAAAAAAGCCAAATGATTTGAATCACTGAATAAACTTCCAGTGCTAGCAGAAACTAAAGAAACTAAAAATACCCACCAAAGAATAAACATTGAGAAACTTTGAGTCCATAGAAGACCAAAGTAGGAAAGCCAAAGAATAAACAAAGACAATAATACTGATAATAATTGCATTAGAGAATTCTACCATACACAACTTAGTTATGCCATTTTCTTCTTTAGTTATAAAAAATTTTCTTCTTTAGTTGTGATATTATTTTAGTTAGGACTCATAAGATCTTTGGTTAAGCCTCATGTGATGTTCGGTCATGATTTTTTTTTTAAATATAAAGTTATATCATTTTCTTCTTTAATTAGAAGGTGCATATGGAAGAAACCTTTTGAGAGGTGTGTACATAGTCTTTCCCGCTAGAAAGATTTAAGAAATTATGGGAATGATGCCTATTGTATTAGCTTCTACCGGAAATATATATTAAACTGTAAGAAAGTGATACTATAGACACCTTTCAAAGGTGCGTATGGTTTGTACCTAAAATTTTAACCACAAAGATTCATGACTACAACCAATTTGAATCATAATAAAAAATCCATAACCAAGATCACTTTCAATTCATAGCAAAACACCACAAACCCTCACATAAGGCAACTTGGATTCATAACCAAATATTAAAAAAAGGTATCATAACGAAAACTAGTTTAGGTTCTAATAAAAATCTCATAACCAACTTTATTATAAATTTGACCGGCACAAAGCTCATAACTAAGTACCAACATGATTTATAACTAAAACCACAAATTTTCATAATTGAGGGATATGGTACATACTTTTGAAGGGATATGTATCATAAAATTCCTAACCTGTATATGAGAGATTTAGATAGAAAATGGGCAGCGTCGTGGCTCCCACCAATCCCTCTATAGTTCCGCTACTGACCATGGAGTGAATGAGTCCAACATAATCTCTTTGGCAATCAGAACAATCTATGTGATACTTGAGTTAATGTATAATAGAGGTCAAAACAGGGCTCTAACATAAAGCACTTTCAAAAGTGATAATCAAGCTGATGCTCTCTAGCCTCTAAAACTGCAGGCAAGGGAAGTAAACTGTGGAATGAACTATACACATCAATTGTATTTCGGCCTTAATTGATCAATGAAGAATTTATTTCTAATGCAAGCTTAAAACAGAATCTATAAATTAAAAGATAATAGTAGTAGCATCACATACCAAGAAACAAACTAAAACTTTTAAGAAGATAGAAATTTAGAAGAGTTTATTGAGGGACTTATCTGCTGAAACATGTAGGACATTGATTAAACAGGTGATAGGCTTTCAATGAATGGATACATATTACTAAGATGCTTCCCAATTTTCAAGATCCTTTGGCGAACAATCTCGAAGCTCCTTCAATGTCTTGGAGTTGAGATCATAAGAAATAACTTTGCCAGGAACAACTAAAACCGGAGTAAAGTCTTTTTCATTTGCTCCCTAGTAATAACAGAGCACGTAAAATTTACAGAATCTAGTAATGGTTGTGTTTACTACGTCAGGGAATAAAGATAAAATGGGACTAAAATTGACCCGGTACTTCATAATCCAATTGCTGTAATCCTTGTCCATCTGAAGGATTCTAAATCTCAAAGCAGAAATCTGATAAATCTGAATAAGAAGCAAATGCCCATCACATTTTCCAAATACCTATCTTATCACGGGAAAGAATTTTAGGGTTTGGATGCATTGGAGTTTGACACACAGAGGAGAGGTGGTCGGTGGTCGTCGACGTCACGATGGTCAGTGGTCGTCGCGTGGGATGGGCTCCGATGCAGGTAGAGAGAGAGAGAGTTCAAAATTGAAATCAGAAAGAGAGGAGATGAGTACCTTTGACGGAGAGGAGCGAGAGAGGGTTCAAAATTGAAATCAGATAGAGAGAGATTTTCTGACCATTAGATCTTGATGGTAATTCATCTCAACCATTGATGCTCAAAGAGCATTTGGGCGGGAAATAAAGACATCTCAACCATTGAAGTTGAGATGAAACAATTTAAACCATTGAATCAAAATGTATCTTTAAGATAAATTAGATATTTTCAAATACCCTTCTCTCATATTATATAGATTTTTTTGTAACACTAATAAGTTTATTTTTTTTTTTTTTTTTTTTTTTGTGTACTATTCTAATAGGAACGGTATGGACAGCAATTGCACATGTAATAACAGGGGTAATAGGGGCAGGAGTACTGTCCCTTGCATGGTGTACGGCTCAGCTAGGGTGGGTCGGTGGTCCAGTCACTATGCTGGTCTTTGTTGCCATCACCATTGTTTCAGCAGACCTTCTCTGTGATTGCTACAGATCTCCTGATCCTGAATATGGCCCCACCAAGAGCAAATCCTGCGTGGAAGCTGGTAAATTGTATTTAGGTCAGTGCTTTTCTCTACTAATATTTCAATTTTATTTATTAAAATAAAATTACCAAATCAATGGTTATTATATAAGAAATCCACTTGAAATCAAGGTATCATAATTTGTGGGCTTGATCCTAAATTAATTGAATGAGTCTATAAGTACAGAAATTAGACTTAAAATATATATAAATCAATAAATCTTGCTTATTTATGTGTTTGTAATCCAAACATTATGCAAATGATGGATCAAGGTAAAATTATTAGACTTTTGAAGGACCAAAGTAATTTTTTTTTTCTTCAGATTTTGGGATGGGGTTAAAATGTTAATTTCTTGTATGAATATTCAAAATTGCATAGACTAATCAAATTTTATTTTGTGAAGTTTGAGAAAGTTAAAGTAAAATTATATAGATTTAGAGGGCTAAAATATATATATTTTTTATATTATAATAAATGCTTAAAATTGCATTGAACCAATCAAGATTTGGAAAATTTTCCCACCTGGCCTTTTCCCCGTTATGTTCACCAATTTTCGTCACATAACTGAAGTTGATATTAACTATAATGGCTTTGTAACTTTCAAGGGTTGGCCTAGTGGTAAAAGCTTGGGACTTAGGAGTTTGCTCCTCTCTAAGTCTCATGTTCAATACCTCTTAGGTACTATCAACTTTTGTCTTAGGCCAGTCCATACGGAGCTCTGCTCTGACTTTAAATGGGCCCCCGCTAGTGGACGGTGGGATTGATCCCCCAGAGATTAGTCGAGGTGCGCGTAAGCTGACCTGGACACCCTGAGTTATCAAAAAAAAAAAAAAAACTATAATGGCTTTGTGGTATCAAATAGTTTTAAATAATGCTAATTTCTCATCTCACTTGTTTGGTTATTAAGAGACCGTGTGTAAAAATGATAGTGTTGTGCCCCATATTCATTCTTATAAAAGAGTACTACCCAAGAACAACCCCCCCACCACACACACACAAATTGAGTAATTCCAAACCACCACATTCTACTGAGGTTAATTTTCTTGGACAAATTATTATTTTTTTTGAAAAGGCATAAGAGATGATGAATTTGTAATTGTTTTTCAGGAGAGAACAGTAAAAGAATAAGTGGACTGTTTTTGCAGGAAAGCATGTATGGGTGTGGAGTCGCCTTTGTTATTACCTCCGCAGCTAGTGTTAGGTACGCTATTTCGTCCACGTGTATAGAATCTGATTACAGAATTATACATAACTCATGTATGAGAATTGTGTCCAATCTTTAAAAAATTACAACTTTCATCTTTTTTTTTTTGGAAGTCCCTTTGTTTTTATTTAAATAGGTAAATGAAATTACAGAACAATTCAGAAATCAAACTGTCATCACAAAGAAGGGCATAAGGCTTCATGTGAATATGGGGATACAGTGTATATGGTGCTGTTTGGAGTAGTGCAGATTGTAGCGTCACAGATTCCAGATTTCCACAACATGGCATCGCTCTCTTTTGTTGCAGCAATCATGTCCTTCTTTTACTCTTCCATTGGCTTTGTACTTGGCTTTGCAACTGTCATTGGTATGCCTTTTTTTTAGGGATATGATAAGAATTATATATATTGTGGGGCCATTTTTACTATATTTGATTAGAGTAGGATATAATATGGAATCAGATGAGATTGATTTATTTTTTACCATTAGATGAAGGATAAATTTACATCCGGTGATAGATGATATGCAATGTCCCACCCTTTTGAGGGATATAATCTCTGAACTCCTTATACACAGAGAAACTAAACATGAGATATAGGGAGGTGAAAAAACTTGTAAATCCCATCAGATTTTATATCTTGTCAAACACCCATATCCTCGTCGATATACCCCAAACAAACAAGGCCAAAAGGTCTGCTGCAAACATGTATTTAAGAGGGTGAACTCTGAGACTAGCTATAAATTTGGACATCTAGGGTTCGATTCGTTAATGTCTTTTGAACTTAATTGATACTTGTGATTTGTTGGTAATTTTAATCTGAGATTTAGTCTATAGGGCAAGTCCAGAGAACCTTGCGTTGGGAAGCAACTCCCTTAAAAATAGTAAAAGTTGACATAATTTTGACATTTCAACTAGAAATGAAGTAATCTCTTATAAATTATGAAATTCAATCTCAAATCCCTTGATTTGAAATCAACTCATCCAAACGGTTTCTTGCTTTTGCAATTGCAGAAAATAAGAAGATCATGGGGAGGATTGGAGGAGTCCCAGCAGGCACTACAACTGAGAAATTATGGTTGGTCTTTCAAGCACTTGGAGATGTTGCTTTTGCCTATCCATATACAATTATTCTTCTAGAAATACAAGTATAGTTTATTCTCTCCGTTTGATAAATTTCACACTCTTACATGTTTCAAGAATTTTTAAGAAAGAAAAATATTTAAAATTGAATGCAATGAAAAGGATACTGTAAAATAAATTGATAGATAGAGAATAAATTGTATGTATTATTGATTGATGTATTGATTGATTGTTGTGTATATATTTTGTACAAGAATTCCTATTATATAGGAGATGATTCTGGAGTAGGTGAGGAGTGAGTGGTGGAGGTAGGTTTGGTGGAGTGTAGTAGGTGATAGGAGTAGTAGGTGCAGGTAGGTTTGGTGGTAGGTGTAGTAGTAATTTACATTTACATTAACAGCCCCCCTCAAACTCAAGGAGGATAGGTACTAGCCAACTTGATTTAGTTGGAGGATATCAGGTATATAAATATTGTTTCAATTCAATTTTGATGATGTTACTTTATCTTCGCTGCAAAGATATAATCATGTTAGCATAGGAATGCAATGATAAATCTTTGTCATTGCTCTGCTTACATAATCGTCATCACAAATGCTTACTATGGCCATTCACATTCATTTGTTAGGTATACAGTCAGCCAGTGTTTGCAATTGCAGAAAGATGGTTTGGTAAGAAGTATCCAAACAGCAGATTTGTGAACAATTTCTACAACTTCAAGCTCCCATTGTTGTCGGGTTTTCAGTTGAATCCGCTTAGGCTATGTTTTCGGACATTTTATGTTATATCAACCACCGTAATTGCAGTGATCTTCCCTTACTTTAACCAAGTTTTGGGAGTGTTAGGGGCACTGAACTTTTGGCCCTTGGCAATATATTTCCTTATGGAAATGTACTTTGTGCAGAAGAAGATTAGGGCTTGGACTACAAAGTGGATTGTTCTTCAAACTTTTAGCATTGTTTGCTTGATTGTCTCAATATTGGCCTTGATTGGGTCAGTTGAAGGACTTATAAGGGCAAAACTGAGCTAAGGAAAATGGTTTTTTTTTTTTTGTACTTCAGTATTTTCATAGAGTATCATTCACAGAACAGTGTGTTTGTGATAATTTTGATATTACAAAGTGTTTGAGATTTTTGTTTTAAAGCAATAAGCATAGAAGTTTGTTATAACATTCTATATGTATTTTTTGAAATCTATAACATGCATCTGTAAAAAGAGCACATTGTAAGAAATGTTACGCTATTTCGTAGTGTTAGTTATGTTATTTTGTAATAAAAGTTAAAATTAAAGTTATTAACCATTGTGGTAATGCTTGTTCTAGATAAGATAAAGCAGAGGGTTTGCTACAAGTGCAATTTTTTGAACAATTTTTAAATAACAAAAAAAATATCTGTACATGAATCAAATGAATCAAATCACAAAGGATTGGAAATCTGATATGATGCCTGACAATCTTTCGTTCTCCTCTTCTTTTGTTTTTTATTTTTTAAGACACCTAATTTCAGTTTCAGAAAAAGAAATTAAAGTTATTAACCATTGTGGTAATGCTTGTTCTAGATAAGATAAAGCAGAGGGTTTGCTACAAGTGCAATTTTTTGAACAATTTTTAAATAACAAAAAAAATATCTGTACATGAATCAAATGAATCAAATCACAAAGGATTGGAAATCTGATATGATGCCTGACAATCTTTCGTTCTTCTCTTCTTTTGTTTTTTATTTTTTATTTTTATTTTTTAAGACACCTAATTTCAGTTTCAGAAAAAGTTTACTATACATTGCTCAATAATTACAAAAGTTATTTTGTAATTAATTAAAATGATTTAATTACTTTTAGAATTCATGAGCCATAATTACAATTTTTAATTATTTAAGGGATACTATAGAATCTTGAGACACGTACTTGGTCTCATGTTTGGAAGGGACTAGATTGAGAGGATCCCCTAATTTTGTTCATAAATTTCTATTATTCTCCATTGGTGGAATTGAGTGTTGAATCTTGTCACACTATTGAATTATAAAATTATACAATCAAACCAAATTTATAATAAATTAGTTCCATTAATAATTAACCCAATCCCCCATAAGTTTTAGTTTGAAAATGGTAATTCTTTCTTTCTTTTCTTATTTTATTTTATTCATATATATATATAATGATACTGCTAATCTTTGGGGGTCGGGTCGGCTGACCCACGCTTCCAACATCGCTCTCTGATCACTGAGCCCACCGGGGTACCTGCACAAATGCCCAGCGGGGAACGGGAGTCCCCCAGCGGGGAATGGGAGTCCCCCAGTGGATCCTCCGACGATCCAGTTAAAAGAGAGAGAGGTTAATGGCGAGTAAAGAGAGAATAATGAAAGGGAACTTAACCTTTTGTGTGTCTTGGAAGCCTCCTTATATCCTTTGTTCATCATTTCCTTGTCCACTCTGACCTGTTATGTTGGTCGAAAGTCTATGCTCTAGCTTGCCTTGTTCATGGTGAGGTTGCATGTTCCAACGTGAAGGGGTTATCGCATTTAATGCTGCAGGGGCCTTATTAATGGCTGATGTGCGGTGCAATAACTCTACAGGATCTTTGTTTACTTACGTGGCTGGTTCTCCTCTTGACAAGCGTTTAGATGCCATTGGTTCTTGATGCAACGTCGGGTTTCAGTGGTGTTGGGCTTTAGTGCTTAAACCGTGAATTAGGCTCTAAGTGGTGGGCCAAAAGCCTCTATGGGCCCACCGATGTCAGTAGTCCCCCATTTCCAAGTACAGCTTCAGTCTAACGAAGGAAATAAGAAGGAAGACGGGGATTGTGTGTGGCCAAGTGAGAGAGTGCCGACCACATAGGAGAAAAGGGGGGGGGACCAGGCGAGAAGGCCGACCGAGAAAAGGGTTGATCGCGAAAGGGGGACCGAGTGAGAAGTGGTGACAGCGCGCGGGGCTCGAGGAGCGACGAGGCGTGTGGTGATGTGAAGTAGAATAGACAGGGAAGGGGAAAAGAGTAGTGAATCGTGGTTGTACACATGGCATGATCCAGTGATAAGAGAGGTGATGCGTTAGCAAGAAGCGAAGGGTTAGTACTAATATAGGGCGTGGAAAAGGTGGGGGCGAAAACTTTCAAAATTTTCAAACTAGCAAAATTTAATCTCGATCCTTGGAATATAGGCAAATCCTGGGCATTTGGAGTTATTTGTCTTCCATACCTTTTTGCGAAAAACCAACATATCCCAGAGTTGAATTCATTTGTTTCGTGTTACACGCCTCTCCAATACTTTGCGAACTTCTTTGTGCCAGCGTCCGAAGCAATACGCAGAAACGTAAAAGAGATGGCTCGAGATGAAGTGCCAGCCATGAGGCTAGAGGCACTGGGAAAAGACGATGCAGTGGAGTTGGCGAAGCAATATAGAGTAGAGGCGCGGAGAAAGCGGCGCAAGCTCACCCATTTACGATGATTGTAGCCGTAAGACCAATTAGCCAAGTGGAACCAGACCACTAGCACACCAAGGCCGACAAGTCAACGTTCACGGCGGAGGAGTTAAAGGAGGTATGAAGGAAATACCAGATTTCGGTAGAGATAGAGCTGAAGTTGCCCACGTCTAAAGAGAGGGTGTTGGATACACGACCGATGAAATTTACGTTGTACGAGGAAGCGTTGCCGGGGGGGGGTTGAGGTTGTCGCTCCCCAAATAGTGGTGGACATACTAAACCGATTGGAGGTGGCGTCAGGGCAGCTAATGCCCAACGCATGGAAAATACTAATGGCCTACGCGATTGCATGGCCACAGGCGACCGGGGGGGCAGCAATGACAGTGGGGGAATTCTTTTCTTGCTACAAGGCCTCCGGTCAGCAAGAAACATGGGTGACCTTACAAGCGGTGGCGGGCTTACCATCATCGGTGAAGGGGTGGAGACCGATGTGGTTCTATGTATTAGCAAATGGTGGGAGGGGGGTGCGCACAACGTGGAAAGTCCCCACGAAGTCAAGGCTAGAAGCGGAGGCCGAGAATAGGGTGAAATGGGTTAAGAAGTGGAAGGAGAAGGAGGGAGTGAAGTGGGATGACCTTATCCGACGTCAACCCTGTTCGCCTTGAGTCTGGGGCTGCAACCGACTAAGGAGGATCCTGCACGGGAGGAGTTGGAGGCAAGGAGAAAGGTACAGGAGGCGGAGGAGCGGAAAACGTTTGCCAAGGCAGACAAGTATAAGGAATCGCAGTTGGGGCCTGCGCCTAAGCTAGTGATGAGAGAGCAGGTTCGACCACAGCCTAAGCCGTTGGGAGACAAAGTTCTGACTGATTTTGTGCCGTTGCTGCCCTTAGTGGATCCGCTGAAGGAGAGGAACGAACAGGAGGTGGAGGCATTGTTAAAGAAGAAGAAGAAAAAGAGGGCAGTGGCGGAGGAGAGTGAGGGGGGTCCTCTTTTGAAGAAGATGAAGGATGGGAGGGCGGAGGAAACCCCAGAAGTGGAGGTGGGGGAGACAAGGGCGGTGGGGAAGAAGTGATGAGCCCAAGTGTCCAAGTGGGGACGGGCACGGTGGAGCCAGAGCAAATGGCAGTGGGTGAGAGATTGGAGCCACATTCACTCAAGAAGGGGCCTGTGTCAAAGTGGCCCCAAGTCCTGGAGAAGGGAAAGTTGGGGCAAGCAAACCAGAGATGGGTGCCGCATTGAAGACCACCATGTACCACGTGCGCGCGGTGGCCGGTCGATTGGCAGAAGAAGGGAGGAAGCCAGGGTCACAGTCGACTGTCTTGTTACCCAAAAGACAACCTAAGAGGGGGGGGGTGAATTAGGTTTTTATAATTAAAATTAATAATACCCTAATAAAATTATGACTAGCACAATAGATAAATATAATTAATGAAATAAAAATAATTAAAACAAGCGTCTTAACGACTATGTTAGTTAATGATTTTAGCATAGTAAAAATGTGAAATATAGCTATGGGAATTTAAAATAAAATATAGAGATAAGGGAGAGAGAGACAAACAAATTTATAGTGGTTCGGCTTCAATTCGGCCTACATCCACTCCTCAAGCTTCACTTGAGATTTTCCACTATACTCTAGCTTCACATGGTGCTAACAACCTTTTCACAGATGGAGCAATCCTCTACGCTAGAGGCGGACATACTTTTGTCGTTTTACTTTTTGATGTATTACATGTAAATTCAAGCCAAGGGCTTAATGTGTAATGAGTTAGTACTCTTTTGTTGTAACCAAGTGTTAACTTGGAAAGCTGTAAGTCCATAGGGCATTTGCTTTTGTTGTTAACATGTAATACTTATGTAATGGAATTTTGATATATGGAAGAATGTGGAACTTTTACATATCAATGCATGTCTTATTTGATGGGTTTAATGTTATTATTTTGAGGGCGTTACATAATTTCTGAGAATAGATATGAGTGATTATAGATCAAAGAATATTTTTAGGTTTTTTGTAACTTGTTTACATTAGAGACTTTAGTATATATAATGAAAATTATAGTCGTTTATAGCCGTTCTATTCATTTTATAACCGTTTATAGTCGTTGTACTTCCATTATTACCAATTTGAATATCTTCCACTCCATCATTACAAATTTGAATATCTTCCACTTGAACCTTTTGAACTGCTATTGTGTTGAGCTGTTTGAACCTCTGTTTTGGGCTGTTTGAACTCTTGATTTAACCAAATATTAAATACATTTTAACAGTATTTAGGATAAAGGTTTAGGTGATAAATAATGAGACAAAATAAATTTTGATTTTATTAAAACATAAAATCATCAAAATAAATTTTGATTATATTTTTCTCTTTCAAATAAATCATCAAAATAAATTTTGATTCTATTTTTCTTTTCCAAATAAATTAAAATATAATTAAATAAATCATCAAAATAAATGAGTCTAACAATCTCTCCCTTTTTGATGATGGCATACAATGATGTTTCGATTTGATTTGGGAGTAAAAAAAGCTCCCCCTCAAGTCATGCTCCTTGAATTCATTTCTAAATGCATAGGTTTGATTTGATCATGCTGTCGCTGAGCTTGCCATGACCAAGTCAGAGCTGGAAGTGGTGCTCCA